ATTCTTTTTCCCAATAACATGTAAAGACAATTTTTAATATTCTTTTTTTTTTAATTCCAAATTCTTTCCCTCCCTCCCTTTCCTTCCCTTTCCTAAGAAGGTAAGCAATCTGATACAGGTTATGCATGTGCAATCATGTAAAATATTTCTGTATTAGTCATTTTGTGGAAGAAAACTCTAACCAAAAAAGAAAGAAAGTGAAAAGCAGTATGCTTCAATCTGCATTCAGACTCCCATCAGTTCTTTCTTTGGAGGCAGATAGCATTTTTCATCATGAGTTCTTAGGAATTTTCTTGGATCATTGTATTGCTAAGAATAACCAAGTCATTCATGCTTGTTCATCTTACAGTATTGCTGTTACTGTGTACAGTGTTCTCCTGGTTCTGCTCAGTTCACTCCATATTGGTTCATGTCTTTCCAGGTTTTTCTGAAATCATCCTGCTCGTCATTTCTTATACCACAATAGTATTCCATTCCATTCAAATCACAGTTCCAAATTGTTTTCCAGGATGGTCCAGTCTAGAGAGCAATTTGGAACTGTGCCCAAAGGGCTATCAAACTGTGCATACCTTTTGATCCAGCAATACCACTACTAGGTCTGTATCCCAAAGAGATCATAAAAACAGGAAAAGGACCCACATCTACAAAAATATTTATAGCAGCCCTTTTTGTAGTGGCAAAGAATTGAACATTGAGGGGATGCCATCAATTGGGGAATGGCTGAACAAATTTTCGTATGTGAATGTAATGGAATACTATTGTTCTGTAAGAAATGGTGAGCAGGTGGATTTCAGAAAAACCTGGAAAGACTTGCATGAACTCATGCTGAATGAAGTGAGCAGAACCAGGAGAACATTGTACATTGCAACAACAACATTGTGCGATGACTGACTTTGTTAGGCTTAGCTCTTTTGAACAATGCAGCGATCTAAGACAATTCCAAAAGACTCATGATGGAAAATGCTATCCATGTCCAGAGAAAGAACTATGGAATCTGAAAGCAGATTGAAGCATACTATTTTCTTTTTTTTGTTGTTGTTTTTTTCTTTTTTCTTTTTCGTGGTTTTTCCCTTTTCTTCTGATTCTTCTTTCACAA